ACACACACACACACACACTGTCTCTGCTTCCATTTCTTTTTTCTTTGCAGTTGATTCATTCATATCTTCTCTCTGTTCACCATTTAATGAGTCTGCAATTAGACGCACTTGACCTTATTTGACCCGATTCCGTCTCCACGCAGGACAACAGCCGGAGGGTGGACAATGTGCTCAAACTGTGGATCATCGAGGCCCGCGAGCTTCCAGCCAAGAAGCGCTACTACTGCGAACTGTGTCTGGACGACATGCTGTACGCGCGCACCACCAGCAAGCCCCGCACCGACACTGTGTTCTGGGGCGAGCACTTTGAATTCAACAACCTGCCAGCCATCCGCAACCTTCGCCTTCATCTATACAAGGAGACGGACAAAAAGAGACGCAAGGTGATAAAGAGATCTGAGGTAACGCAGAGGTCTGACGCGGACGCAGTGTCGTAATATTTGGTTTGTTTATGGGAATGAAATCACTCACTCAAATGCACCGAACCGTGAATTTTGAGGTCATTCACTGCGATGAACCGATGCAGGATTATCACCTGAGTCTCTATGAAGCACTACAGTTTGAATTCATTGTTGATCTGTCCAGCCACGGTGTCAGGCAGCTGTTTTCACAGATAACGCTGTAGAATCCCACTAAACACGCTCTGCTCAGCTGGTGACTAACTGGTGAAGCGTTTAGCAGCTTTACAGCCAGATGTTTCCCTCAGGAGCCGGTGGAGACCAAAAGCAAAGCTAAAAGAGAGTGAATGTCACGCCTGGGCCTCACTGCTGCTACGTGTCTGCTGCAGAGTAACATGCCACTGCATTTCCTCAAATAAACACAATTATACACAACTAATACCCAGGACGATACCAACCGTGCATCTCCTGGTCCTGCAGAAACCATAAAAACAATCGAATTGGCTCAGTCAACAGAAAGGTGAGATTGCTTTTACTTTAAACGTACAGGAAGTGTATTTTGCTGTGAACCTCATGCGGAGAAAATAAGTGAAAATAGACGGTAGCTGCGCGTAAAAAGTGGCCAAAAAATATAAATCATTGCGAGTTTCAATCTGAGCTGTGATTTTATGCGGAAAAAAATGACTCGAAACACTCGAATAATCCCGACAATGAATTTTGAAGTCAAAGCCGTTTATCAACCCTGGAACAAAAACCTCCTCTCCTCCAACATTTTCACAGTAATGAGCAGTTTGGCTCATTTTCAGAGCATCAGTCCAACAACAGCATTGGGAAATATGCTGTGAGTGGCAGTAACACTAAAAACCAAACAGTTATGATTATCCATAGACGACTGTGGGTCCAAAAAAAAAAACCCCAGAATTAATCGTAATAATTGATGAAGCGATCACTGAGTCATGCAATAGATCAACAACTCCATAAACTTCCTGCAGATGCGAAACATTTTGGAGCTTTTGTGTTATCGGCAGTGAAAAATCTCAGTTTTAGCCCCGATGTGTTTATCAGTTTTGAAGCGTAAACAAAGAATTTCAACAAAAGCTACAGATGAGATCATTTTTATTTTCTATTTTGAACATTTCGAGCTTCAAACACTCCAGGGATCCAGTGTTGGTCTTAAATCAGCACATACGTTTTAAATTGACTTCACTCATCACAACTGATATCTGTGTGTTTTTATCCTTTAAGGAAAAAAGCACATACTTAGGACTGGTGAGCATCCCCATCTCAAGCATCACCGGCCGTCAGTTTGTGGAGCAGTGGTACCCGGTCATCCAGCCCAGCGTCCTCACCAAGGGAGCTGGTGTCGGAGGAGGGAAGATCATCAACGCATCCCTACGCCTCAAATCCCGCTTCCAGACCATGAACATCCTGCCCATGGAGCTGTACAAGGAGTTTGCAGAGTACGTCACCAATAACTACCGCACACTGTGTGCTGTGCTGGAGCCTGTGCTGAGCGTCAAGAGCAAAGAGGAAGTGGCCTGCGCCCTCGTGCACATACTGCAGAGCACAGGAAAGGCGAAGGTACGGGAACACTGAATCCTCTCTTCTGAGGTTTGGGCGAATATGTCAAACTGATCTTGTCAGAAAAATAACAGTTTTTCTCTTCGGCAGGATTTCCTTTCCGACATGGCGATGTGCGAGGTGGACAGATTCATCGACCGAGAACACCTTATCTTCAGAGAGAACACTCTGGCCACCAAAGCCATAGAAGAGTACCTCAAACTGATCGGACATAAGTACCTCAAGGATGCTATAGGTGAGCCGGAACAGTGGGGTTCAAATAAAGAGGATGAAGTTTTGGAAATGACAAAACTTTTTCTCTCGGTACTCTCTTTCTCTCAGCCTTAGTCTGGTTTGTTTGGGAATTTTATTATTTAACTTATTCAGTCAGACGTGTCTTTTTTATTTTTGTATTCCCACTCAGCACCTGATGTCTATAAAAGTAAGCCGCAGCTCCGAGGTGTTAGGAAAGAAAAAAACAATATTTTTCCTCTTTTTTATTTCCCAGTTTTATGGTTGAAAGAAAACGTTTTAATTCTATCCCAGAGCTTCTCATGTAGAGGGAAGAAATAAA